AGCAGGAACTATAGTGAAATGCTGCTTAGCAACATCCAAAGGCAGATGACAATGACAATGATACAAAGAGCAGGAGAATCAGATTTCAGCGTGACAATCATTTCCGTCTTACAACTGCTTGTCCACCAACCAGGTGTGGTTAATTGGTAAAATATGGCTTATTACTTAATACTTTATTGCTTTTATTTCCTATTTTTTAAAAAGGGGTGAAAATAACATCTGAACCAATAAAATTCAAGTGCTGATTCACGTAAGTACGCTATCCTGAAAACATTTTTAAGAACATCTTAAAACTTCATAGGAGAGGACCTATAAAATTGCGGTGGATTTTTTATTATCATTTGTGATTTTTAAAAAATTATTATTTATTTAATTTTATTATTAGTATTTTGTTTGCTATAGTACACATGCATTCACTAGAGAGAGGCAGACAGGGAGAGAGAAGGAAAGTAAGATAGCAAGTCTGGGACTCAGACTTGGTTGGTCATGTGGGGGTCCAGCACCTTAACCACCATACCACCTGCCGCCCCTTGTGATTTGTTTCTTTTACTTGAGGTTCCTTTTTTTTTTTTTTTTTTTTTCAGTTTGCTATAGGGTGCAGGCACTTGCTAGAGAGAAACAGAGACTGACAGAAAGACAGATAGAGAAAGGGAAAGTGAGAAATCATCCCCAAAGGGGATGGCCACACCATAAACCTTTCTCTTCTATTTCTCTTGTCAGGATTTTTGGGCATGGGTGCACATGCCTAGCGTGTTTTTAAGCCATCAGATCCAGGTCTTAAACCACGCAGTCAGCCATGTGAGATCCAGTCACTTAAACCACCACACCACTGGGTGATCCCAAATTTGAGTTTCTGATCCTTCTCAACTTTTGATATACCTTAAAATCATCCATGAAGCTTTAAAAAAATTAAAGATGCCCAAGGTCTGATGTGGACATGCTGAATCAGTGTCTCTAAAAGTGGACTGGATATCAATATGTTTAAAATAATCCCAGATGACTTTATTTGTACCTCAAGTTGAAAACCACTGTGACATAATATATAAAATATTTTTATCTCTTTTTTTAAAGAGGTTTTTGCTATAGGGCACATGCATTCGCCAGAAAGACAGAGAGAGACAGAAAGCAAGAAATCATCCCCCAGAGGGGATGGCCACGTCGCAATCCCTTCTCCTCCATTTTCCTATCAGGATCTTGGGCACGCACGCACATGCACCCAGAGTGAGTTAAGCCACCCAGTATAGGACTTGAACTGCAGTTGACTACATGGGAGTCTAGCGACATAGCCATTACGTAAAACTGCTAGTCCCCATAATATATAAAATATTTAAGGCAGTTCTTGGGGCAGTAGATGAAGTGATGGTTAAGGTGCTGGACTCCTACATAGCCAACCGTGATTCAAATCCTGGATCCTGCAGCTTAAAAATCATACCAGGTGCATGCACATGCATGCCCAAAATCTTGAGAAGAGAACAGAGAAGGGATGTGGCCAAATCCCCAAGGTGGTGATTTCTCACTTTACTGCTCTGTGACTCTGTCTTTCTCTGGGGAACACACGTTAAACAAAAAACAAAAAAAAAAAAAAAAAAAAAAGTGTGTGTGTGTGTGTGTGTGTGTGTGTGTGTATATAGATATATATACACACACACTTATATATCTACACACACACACACACACACACACACACATACACATACAACCTAGAGAACAAGTGAGTGCAGTTCTTTTTTTTTTTTAACTATTTATTTTAATTTTATTTATTCATTAATTTATTTTAATTTGACCAGAGGGAGACACAGAGAGAGAGGGACAGTGAGAAAGGAAGCCACCAGGTCCGGGACTTGAACCATGGTCAGCCATGTGGGAGTGTCCAACGCCTTAACCACCATGCCATTTGCTGGTCCCCCTGCGTGCAGTTCAAGTTTCGTGTGCATGTGGTTCACATCAGGAACTTACTGAACATGCAAATTCCTAGGATCTATGAAAGTTTAGGATTTAGCTTGCCTGGTATGGGCTCAGTAATTTTCATGTTTAAACAGCATTCTAGGAGACACTGATTCAAGTATCATCAAACTACACTCTGAGCAGCACTTTTTGAAAAGAATCTGAAGAAACCAAAATAGATCAATTTTACCAGGCTGGGATCCAGAATATGGCAGCCACTGACCTGAGTGATGTTTGTGAATATCTGCTCGGACAGTCTCTCACACAAAACGGCCATCAGCTGTAGGACCAGCAGCTTCCGCTCTTGGCTTTCTACACGAAGAGTCTGGTGTTGCTCTAATTCCAAGAAGCTTTTGCTGGAGAAGGGCTTACTTTTTAACTCTGCTTCATTTTCCACAGCCACATAAGTCAACTCCTAAAAGCAAAGAAGGAAAGAAAAAGTGAAGAAAAGGCCAGCAGAGCTAAGGGCTTCATAAACATAGCTAGGAAACTATATAAAGTGCATAGTGGGTCGTTGGAAAAGTCATTACTTTTTTTTCTATGCAGAAATGCGTCATGACTTTTCCAATAACTTAATACTTAAAGAAATAGTCTGTGTTTGTTGTAGTATTATTTGTTTTTTTAAAGAACTATTTATTTAATTATAGTTATTGATTCATTTATTTTAATTTGACCAGAGGGAGACACAGAGAAAGAGAGAGGTTGTGCGAAAGCAAGTCACCAAGGTCTAGGACTTGAACTGTGGCTGGCCATGTGGGAATATCCAGCGCCTTACCACCATGCTGCAGTATTATTTGTAATAGCCAAAAACTGGAGACAATTTAAATGTTCAGCAATAAGAGAATAAATAAATTGCAATATATTTATTATATCACAGCATTTTTTTTTTCCTTTTTTGGAGAGGTTTTTGCTATAGGGCGATTGCACTCGCCAGAAAGACAAGAGACAAAAAAAGAGAAATCACCCCCCCAGGGGAGATAGCCATGCTGCAATCCCTTCTCCTCCATTCTCTTCTCAGGCTCTTAGGCATGCAGGCACACTTGCCTGGTGTGCGTTTAAGCCACCAGCTCCAGGACTCAAACCGTGATTGACTACATGGGAGTCCAGAGACATAGCCATTATGCCAACTGCTGGTCCCTATCACAGCAGTTTTAAAAAATAAACCATGGATGCTCTTTAACTTATGATGAAGTTATATCAGATAAACCCATCATAAGATGGAAATACCTAAGTCAAAAATGCATTTAATATACTTAACCTACTGAATATAAAAGCTTCACTTAATCTACCTTGATCATGCTCTGAACACTTATATTAGTGTACAATTAGGCAAAAATAATCTGACACAAAGCCTATTCTATAATTACATGCTGACTATCTTATGTGATATATTAAACACTGTACTGAAAGTGAAAACCAGAATGACTGTATGGGATAAATTCAAAATGTGGTCTCTATTGAATGTGTATTGCTTTTGTCTATGATAAAGTAAGTCAAATCACCATAAGTCAGGAACCATCTGTAGATCTTATATTATCAATACAGTAGATCTGCTGCAAGCAACAGAGTACTATGTGCATTAAGATACTATACACATGAAAATTTTAAATCTCATTATAAAAACATACACACTTTACACACACATACACACACACACACACACACACACACACAAATGGCTTGATAGACCTCTTATTTTATCAGTATTGTAATGCTCTCTACAACTCATACTCCCTGACCTGAGACCTCAGGCCATGCTACATCCCAGAGACTGTTAGATGCTTCCAGCACAACAGCCCTTTTCTTCTCAGTCAGAACTGAGCTTCTACTAATAGATAATTCATTATGTGGGTTTTGCAGGCTTTTTGTTGTAAATTTTCATGGGAAGAGAAAACTTTAAGTTCCTAACAATTAATGCTTTACCAAAGTAGCTGACAGTTTTAGAGTAGTGATACTCAACTATGTCTGAACCATTTTGCTCCCTAGGGGACATTTCACAATGCCTGGGGACATTTGTGGTTGTCATAATTGGTGTGGGGTAATATAAGTATCATGGGTAGTGAGATACTGCTAAATATCCTACAATGCATGGGATAGTCCCCCACAAGAAAAAAATGTAGCTGGCCCAAAATGTCAATAGTACCAAGGTAGAGAAACACCAGTTTAAAGCCAAGGTCTTTGATTTTGTTTGTTTGTTAAACATTTTTTTAAAAATACATAGTTAAGGGGCCAGCAAGTGGCATGGTGGTTCAAGTGCTAGACTCCCACATGGCTGACCACGGTTCAAGTCCCAGATCTAATGGCTTGCTTTCTCTCTTTCTCTCTCTCCTTTTCTCTGTCTCTCTCTCTGGTCAAATTAAAAAAAAATAATAATAATAAATAAAATAATTATTCTAAAAAATAGACAGCTAAGAGCAAATCTTCTTGGAATATTATTTAAAATGAGTGGCTGGACATGGGATGGATGGATGCGAACAAGGGAGGAAAGACAGTAACAAATAAGGGTGCCCCACTTCAAGCCCTCAAAATGTTTAGATTCCCCTCTCGCATGATTGTACATCCATACCACCCTTAAACTCCACAGACATTCTCTTAAGAGTAGGCACTTTACTTAGAGGAAAGAATGGAGAAGGCAGAGCTAAGGTCACTGGCTTACGATATCAGACAATAAAAATAAGAAGGAACATTATGGGATACAAGCTATGATTGGCAATTAGGACAAAAGGCAGTACAACCACTGGCACTAAGAAACAAACCCAGAAAAGATTTCAAAATGGCTACAAAATGAAAGGAGAGAGCCAGAACTGCTAAATCTCCTTTCCAGATAACTTGACAAAACAACAGTTGGAAAGGATAAGGGATTACTCTACAGCTTTAAAACCTACTATTAACTTCAAAAGGCTTCTTACTGTCAACACCAAGCAAAGATTAACCCTTTTATAGATGAATAGTTCTGGTTCGTTAATCTTTCAAATTTCAGTGCAGATTACCTTGGAAAGTATAGTTAGAGCACATGAATCCTATTGAAAATCATTTTTTCTTGTTATCAACCCAAAGGCTACTAAAATACAAATCATCTTTTGATTATTTCCCCTAAATTGGATCTAAATTTTAAGGCTTAAGATGATGACTGTGGGGGCCGGCAGGTGGCATGGTGGTTAAGGGTGCTGGACTCCCACATGGCCAACTACAGTTCAAGTCCTTGACCTGTCGGCTTTCTGTC